TGTCTGTGTGTGTGTGTGTACGTACACAGACCAGTGCAGGTGTCTGGGAGGCCAGAGATCCCCTAGAACTGGAATTACAGGCAGTTGTGAGCAACCTGATGTTAGTGCTGGGAACCAAACCATGGTCCCTGGAGGACAACAAACCATTAACCCCTAAACATCTCTCCAGCCCTGCTCCTGTCACTGTTTAACCATTTTCCTCCCTGCTAAGATCTCTATCACATGAGCCTGCAAAATCCCCAGATTGAGCTTTCCCATCAGACACAGGCCATCACTTTGAGTTGTTGGTCTGTGCCCTCAGCAGGTCCTCGGAGATGTCCTGCCCTTATACACTTCTCCTCAGCAGAGAGATTCCAGTCTTCATGTACTGTCCATGGACCACCAGCATCAGCACTTGGGGATGTTAGGAATGCACAAACTGAGGCCCCACTCCAGACCTGCTGAATAGAATATTTACCTTATCAAGACCTCCCGGTAATTCATGCTGCACTCCGAGGTGTGGTGCAGACTTTGGCAGGGCAGGGCAGGGCAGGAAAGGGCGATCTGTTCTTCAGAGGACGTGTAAGCTCTCAGCTGTGCAGCAGCCCCAGATACCCGCCACCTGAGCTACTTTTGGTTTCACAGCAATGGCTGCTGTTTCACCCCTCTCTTCTAAGGGCTCAGCTGTTGAGGTGTGAGCACTTGGCTATATAATTAGACCTTTCCAATCCAGTGTCACCTCTCCTAATATATCATGACATACTTGTCTGTGATGGTGGCTCAGGGTTGCTTTTCAATCAAATCTCCCAATCTAAAAGTCGTGCTACCTATATAATCTTTTCAGATGTGCATGTTCATTTGCATGTATGTCAGGGCTGCACATGCATGTGTATGCATGTATAGAGATGCCAAAGGTGTCTACCTCGATCAACCCCGATGTTATATATTAAGGCAGGGTCTTTCACTTGAACTTGGGGTTCACCAGTTAAGCCAGTCTCTGCCCCTGGAACAGCTGAACTCTCGTCCTCACATAAGAACTAAATCATCTCCCTGCCTCCTATCTATACTGTCTTTACATGTTATAGAAGTCTAAGGAATTATTGTCCTGTAAGATTCAAAACAATGACATATGCATTTTAAAAAGATAGTGAGGCTGGGGAGATGGTTTAGGGCTCGAGAGCACATTCTGCTCTCCTAGAGGACATGGGTTCAGTCCCATTGCCCACATCAGGTAGATCACAATTCTCTGTAATTCTAGCTCCAGTAAATCCAACACCTCTGGTCCCCAAGACACTGACATCTAGGTACAGGTACCCACATACAGATATATACATAATTCAACGTAATAACAATAAATTTTAATTAAAGGTGTGTAGGAAGATGGTGTCGTTGGTAACATGTAGTGCGAAGACCCGAGTTCAATTCCCAGAACTTGGTTTTGGTTTTGGTTTGACTTGTGTTTTTAAAAAGTGTTGTGGTGGTTCAAACTTATAATCCTCTGGTGAGGTGGAAGCAGGCAGATTCCTGGGATTTGCAGACCAGTCAGACTCACCTACTTGGCAAGCTCTACATCACTGAGAAACTATCTCAAAAAACAAGGTGAAGAGCTTCCAGGGAGTGACACCTGCATTGTCTTCTGGCCTCTAGACTCACATGTACAATCATGATTAAACAGTTGCTGCAGGAGACAGCCCCAGCATTGTCCTCTAGAGTTGCCAGACTATAATGTCAGCCATTGAGATAAGTGTGAATGGCCAGGTCACATGACTGTCTTAGGTAGATAGATGCATCTTGATTTTACCATGGTATTGGTGTAGCCTGAATAACTTCAGACATTATCCTAATTGTGAGTTCATTGGTTCTTAGCTCATTTGTATGTTGATGTTGAATATGAATAGGTGAATTAAATCATCATTGCCTGACCTGTAATTAATGATGAAGACACATAGTAAAACAATAAGACAGGAAGAAAATTCTGGATGCCTGATGGAGAGGAGGTTTCAGCAAGAAAAGGGAGACGGCCACAGAGGGACATGCTTGCAATAGAAATAGTTCTTACTGCTGGGAAGACATGAGGCTTGAGACAATAGGTGGCGGGTCTGTCTGACTTGCAGGTTTGGGCTTGAATAGTTGCCTAACAAGTGGCTATTTTGTGTCATTTTATGCATGTGTAGTCCATGGGATTCTACACAGTCCCTACGGGTGGTTTGCAGGAAGGCACAGAAGACAGGAAGCTGATGAGATGAACAGTTCAGGATAAGGAGGATTAACAACTCAAGAAGTTGTCATGAGACTTGAAAGATCTGAATGCAGCATATGACTGCCAGGAAAATGAATCCAAAACAAGCTTTTTTTTTTTTTTTTTCCCAACTGTATGAAGTTCAGCTCAGAATTTAAAGATCCCATCATGCTTTGCACCATTTAGACAAAGTGATGCTGTGATTTGTGTTTGTTCCAGCACACAGGGTTAGAGTCAGGTTCAGCAGAGCTGTCGTTAGAGTTCAGGTACTTGGAGAGAGGCCAAGAAGTAAAGTGAAGAAGACACAAGTGTGGAAGTAATTGTAGCTGTGTCGGCTCAGCCTCATTCCTCTCACACAGAACTTCTAGAAATGAAACTGGTTGCCTACTGCTTTCCTGTTAGGAGGCATCGCAGATTTGGGTATCTGCTGCTGACACAGAGCACAGAGGTCTGCTTTCTGGGGTGAAGTGCCGAGCAGTCTGTCAGGACTGCGCTCTGATCCAGAGATCTTGTGCTTCTTGTCAGGAGAAACAAAGTCCCCTAATGATATTCCTGTACCACAGCTTAGGGGAGAGATTCTCAATTTGGGGGTCATATTGTTTCTGTCTCATATTAGCACAGGCTAGCCTTGAACATGCAAGTAGCTGAGGCTAGCCTTAAACTCCTGATCTCCCTGCCTCTCAGATGCTAGGATTCTTCAAACTCCTAACCACATCCCTCACCCCCCTCCTACCACACACAGGTTCTCATTCTAGACCCCTTCTTGGCAAAGTTGACATAAGACTGAGAGAGTGGCACCTCTACAATGCAGTGTCCCATACAGCCAGCTCTTCCCTAGTGGTGTGGGGGCTGGAGTGATCGCTAGGTGGCTTGTGTCTTTGCAGGAAACCATAATTATGTGTTTGACTATTTGGACAAGTAGGGTCATTGTTATGCCTGAAACCCAAGTGTTCAGATAAGTTATCTCACACACACACACACACACACACACACACACACACACACACACACACTTCTGCATTATTCCCCTTGGCCCACTCTTTCAGGTGTTTGGGTTTTAAAGCATCTCTAACTTGAGTTCCTTAAACTCTTCTAGGTATGTTAGACAACATATTAGACAACATTGCTTCTTTCTAAAATCTAAACCAAACCTTGCTAAATTAGCAGCTAGACTTTGGTGTAGCCCACATTCTTAGAATTTTACATGCACAATTTGCTTTTTAGTGGTCTGGTAGAAAAAAGATATTTTAAAAAAAAAATTTGTGTGTGGGCATTCCTGCCTGAATGAAGGATCTTTGTCAAATAAATATAAATCTGAATGTACTTTATATATGTATGTATATATATGTATATCTGTATACATATATATATAATTTATTTTTATTTTCTTTACATTAGTGTTTTGCTGCATGTATGTCTGTGTGAGGATGTCAGATCTTGGAGTTACATACAGTTGTGAGCTGCCATGTGGGTGTTGGGACTTGAACCCAGGCTCTCTTGGAAGAACAGCCAGTATTCTTAACCTGAGCTGTTTCTCCAGCCCCTGAATGCACTTTCTTAATAGTCATAAATAACCTCAGCTGCCCTCTTCAGCAGGTGCTTTAACTTTTCCCAGTGTTCAGTTTTTGTCTCCTTTCTCCTGGGGTTTGGTTTGCCTCTATGGAACTTGGCCTTCTTGTTTTCGGATGTGCGTCTGGAGTCCGTCTGTTCTGGGGACCATGAACTCCCTATTCATCTCTCCAAGGCAGCATGGTGGGCAGGGGAAACAAAATGCTATGGAATCTGAGAGAGCAGCCATTTGGCCCAGGGGAAGGGGAGAAAGGCCAGAAGAGGTGGCCTCTGGCCCCAGAGCTGCAGGCCCACAGGTGTGCAGTGGGAGGAGATTTGGAAGCTTGGGCTCATTAACTGCCCGATGCCAAATGCCTCTCCAACAGCACTTACTAGGAAAATTAACTGCTTTTAATTATGCTAAGGCTAATGTGGGGCCAATATATGCATGGCATTGTTCCTTGTATGAGGAAGTAAGTGGTTTTGTTTAAGGACTGGAATTGTGTTTTCCTCTTCTTTTTTTTAATAAACAAGCTTTATTGTCAGTTATCATGTCTGCTTTACCCAAGCATTTTATAGACATTATCTGTATCACCTCCCACATCATTTCAAATATCCCTTTCCTTGAGAAAGGCCTGTTAATGAGCCAGGTGTACTAAAACAAAAGCAGGAATTTGTTGTGTTGTGCTTGGTTGTGAAAAGGCCCCACATTTTAGAGGCTTGGCATTTATCTAAGAGGAACCAGGTGCGAAGAAAAAAAAATTAAATTAGCAGCATAATACGAAGATTGAGGAATAGCTTCTGAGTGATAGGTCGAATCACCTGGCGTGCTGCTTTAGGATCATACGTGGAAAATGAGAGTTAATGGAAGTCAAGCAGATCTGCTGAAGTGACATGGTCACTCTCTGAAGAAAGGCCATTGACATCTTTCCCTGCCACCCCATCTACAAAACCACATTCCCACTCAGAGGTAACCCGAGAGCATTCATGCCATAGGCTACAAAGGCTTGCTTCATAACTTGATCTTACAGTCCTGTTACCTGAGTGTCCCCATGTGGCTGCTTGGGTTTTGAATTACATCACAGAAGGGTCCTGGTACATCTGATAGAATTTTCGTGAGGATTTTAAGCGGGCAGCTAACTTGATGCTAATTAGTCGTTAACCAAAAGGAGACCTTTGCCCTTCCAAACTGTGTTTTCTAGATACTACAATTGGATTATTTTCTTTGCTGCAGGATACTTCTGACTTCGGTGACATTGCTGTCTATATACTCAATAAACCTACTATTGATCTGTTCCAAGGAAACGGGTAAGCTGAGATGTACGGTTTTATTGAGGGCAGGATGCTCATGGACAATGTGTATCATGTCATTTATAGTGAACTCTCCTCGATCGTACCTGTTTTTTGTAGTTTGAGATCACATCCTTTTAAAGGCTTTGCTGCTTCCTTGGGCCTCTGTAAACCTCAGACAAAGATCCTGTGTTTTCATATCACAGCTTCCAAGGTCTTAAGCAAACAGGTCTTTCATGCTCCTTTGTGTGTATTTCACGGAGAGAAAATGTTACTCCAAAGGCATTGTGGGAATGAGCATGCTACTGGGGACTTCAAGTTCTCTGGGCAGTGTAACACCTGAAGTGTTTATTTTCTATTGCTGGGGCACTGGATCATGTTTGTAATACTCTGACTTTTACATTAGCTAAAGCCACCTTGGCCAGCTATTGTATACAGATGACTGGAATGTTTTGTAATAAATTCAGGGTCTAGCCATTATCTAGTTTAAACACCAGTCTTACATGAAGTTGAGCAAAGGTTTAATTATAGCCTGACCCAATTGCTTCTTGTGAAAATTTTGGAATTATGAACTGCCATCAAGGAAGATAAACTTGTGTGTGTGTGTGTGTGTGTGTGTGTGTGTGTGTGTGTGTGTGTGTGTGAATTGGTTTAGAAATTTACTGTTTATTGAAATGAGCTGGTTGGCCACTTGGAAATTTTGCTACAGCCACAATTCTCTCCAGGCAGACTGGTCTGCTTCTTGGGCAGCTGCATATGTTTGAACTGTATTTGCATGTGGTGAAAACTCTTCTGTAGTGACTGCTAGACCTTCTAAGGTCATAGTTATATTTAGAACGGGGGGACTACTGGGATATTGTGAAGATACTTCTCTTAGGTTTTGAAAAAGTGTTTGACAGTTTCGAGAGTGAATTTTAGTAGTTTTACACCCATCTTTTTTCTTCCCCACCCCTTCCCACTGGCACCCTTCTCAACAAGTCCTCCCCTCCTTACTCTTGTATGTGGCCTGCTGAATTTAGTAGTTTCATGCATGGGTGGAAGAGTGTTTATTAGGGCAAGGGCCACTGTCGGTGGTTACACCACTCAAGAAAATGACCCCTTCTCCAACCACTAATCACCAGGAGCCCCTCAGGGAAGGGTGGAGCCATGTGGGCACTGCCCAGCCTGAGGTGTGTATGGGGCTAATCTTGTGCAGGTTTTGTGCAGACAACCACAGGTGCTATGAGCTCATGAGTGCAACAGTTGAACCACATCCAGTAGACAGTATCTTCCTGTGCCCCTCCACATCCTCTGGCTCTTTCCAACCCCTCTTCCATGATATTCTTGACCCTCAGAGGTGATAGAATTTTTGTATTTGAGGCCAAGCACTCCACCATCACTTGTCCTTAGCACTGGGACCTGTTATGGACTTCTGCATTAACCCCTGGCCCCTACAGCAGGAAGGCATTATCCTCAAATGGCGAAGCAGGACTGGCGCGCCGGGGGGGGGGGGTGTCAAAATATGGGTGGGCTTCCTACTTCAAGTAGAAGACAGAGAATGTCAGTCTAATTAGTCTCAAACATGAGGGTCTTTAAAACTCAGATCTTGATGTTAATATTACATACCAGATCCATGAGAAGGCCAGTGTGGGATCCCTCCACTAAGTATGACCTAACCTTTCCTTGTAATATTCTGTAAGCCAGGGTGACAAAGGAGAAACGGTGCTGGTGTCTGACATTTAGACATGTCAGGGTGGTTCAAACTGACAGTGCCTTAACCCTTCTAGGTTAAGGTATGCGTTTGAGAAAGGCCCAGAGTGGCTTGAAGAGTAGTGTGCAGCATAAGATGTTCACTTGACTCTCAGAGCCTTGTCATTTCTTATACTCCCAAATTCAATGTGTAAATAGGCTGCATGGTTTATGAAAAGCTGGGAGAACAAGTCTTTGGCACCACGGGGAAGCTGGTGATTTTTGGAGCCACCTCTCTACAGAACACTGGCGGTAAGAGCTTATTTCTCTTACAAGACTTGGGGGAACATGGATGTTATTGGCTTTTCTGGTGCTGGTGGTTGGGTGTCCCCATGCAGTTTGACATAATCCAAGCAGAGCCCTTGTTGCTTACGTGGCACATGGCCAGTACAGCAGAGGCATTGTTGGTCACTGCAGCGGGAGCTAAGGTTGTCTGCACTTAGCAATGATGATGAACTTGGGAACAGCTACCAACTGTTCTTGTGCCTTGTAACGAGAGCTGTGGTATTGCCTTTCTAAACTTGTTCTCCTTCCACAGCGATGCTGAGCTACCTCTTCATAGTAAAAAACGAACTTCCTTCTGCCATAAAATTCCTCATGGGAAAGGAGGAGGCATTTTCGTAAGCTTTCGACCTTTTCTTGCTTCTGGTGTGTGATGTAACTAAACAGATTGCTCCAGTGTTTCTCAACCAATGGGTTTCAACCCCTTTGGGGGGGGGGGTCAAATGACCCTTTCACAGGGGTCGCATTTCAAATATCTAATATTTTAAAAAATACATGCATGCATACATATGTAAATAATACATTGGACCTTGATGGTGTACATCTTTAGTCCCGGCACTTGGGAGGCAGAGGAAATTGGATCTCTATGTGTTCAAGTCCATCCTGGTCTACAGAGTGAGTTCCAGGACAGCCAAGGCTACAGAGAAAAACCCTGTCTCAAAAAATAAAACAAAAACGTAATCATGATAATGATAATAAATAATTGTATGGTTGGGGGTCACAACATGAGAAACTGTATTAAAGGGTTGAAGCATTAGGAAGGTTGAGAACCACTGGCTTAAATGAAGGATGACCAAGTTTTGTTTTATGAAAGTTTTAGAAATAAAATGCTCCTAAACCTGTTTTTTTTTTTTCTTTCTTTCTTTTTGGTGGGGTGGGTTGGGGTGCTGAGACAATATAATTGGAAGAAGCAGAGACCCACTAACCGTGGCCTTATCTGTTACCCTAAACATAGCAGGGAGCCTGGACTGTGTATCTATGTCTTGAGAGAGAATACACATGGGATAGTTTAAACACAGAAGTCAGGCATACAAAGAAGAAGAAAAGAGAGAAAACCCTCCCTTCTTTCTTAAAGAAAGTTCGTGGCATTTTGGGAACTGACATCATTAAAAAATGTAGCTCACCCTAGGGAGTGCTGCCTTATCATTTGGCACATCATTTGACCTCTCATCTAAGAGTCCTTGTCAGCCTTAGTCTCTCCATTTTTCTTGGAGGGAAACTGTGGAAGCTGTAATTCCCTATGTTCAAGGTCAAATCTAAAGAGTCAGTCAGGATGGGATGCCTACCAGTGGAGACTCCATTCCTGCTGATAGCATCCAAACAAAACAAAAAGGGACTTTCTCTTTAAATAATTGATAGGACAAGTTGTAATCTGACAGAATGCCACATACACAGATGGCTTTGAAGCCATGTAAATAATTCATAGGAATGCCACATTTAGCCAATGTGGGGGGTGCCCCTTTCGTTATTCACATGGGAATGAGGCAGTAGTAAATTAGTAGTGGGGATAACTTTTTGAGGAATACTCCTCAAAAAGAAAGTAAAAGGTAGCGATAGAAAGTCATTATAATTATACTACATTGGGAAATTTTACATTGGAGGAAAAACAAATTCTTAATTGGAGACTGTAACCTCGACACTTCCATGCCTTTCAGAGCCTGGTACGTAGATGGCCGCGTCCTGGTTGTATTGGTTACCTTCTGCATAATTCTCCCGCTGTGTCTCTTGAAGAACCTGGGTGAGCAAAGACTGGCCTTTATCTCAGGCTCTCTGGTTCCAGATGAATCAGAAACACTGAAAAACGAACACCTTTGCCTTCCTTCATTAGCATAATGACAAGATAAATCATAAATTGCAACTATTAATGAGGCCTGATCTTAATGTGAGGTTGAAGACATGATGTGGCTTTCTGAGAAATCCCTTCATTGAACCAGAGCTGAAAGGACAGTGGTTCTAGGACTGGAGTAGACTCTTCCTGTTTTCAGTAGCACAGCTTACAGGCTGCTGTGAGAAACGTCTAGAAAATGGAATTCTCCTAAAAAGCTCTGTCCTGTTTTTGTTTCACAGTGTTGGGGCTTAGTGCAGGCTACCCAAGTCCTTTACTACTGAGTGACACCCCTACCCTACCCTGTGAATTCAGACACAGGCTCTCCCTAAGTCTTAAACTCAAGATCTTCCCACCTTGACTGCTTTGTAGTGTCTAATATTCTGATCATTCATACGTAGAGATTTCAAATCTTACAGCAAGACAGCACAGGGATGTTTGAATCACACCTCAGTTTAGAGTGTAGCCAGTCTCCGTGACTTCACCCACCAAAGGAAAAAAGAGAGAAATTAAAGTTTAAAAAAAAAAAAATGGCAGATGATCTCCATGCCATCCATTTGGTCTTGACATTTGTTTTTATGCTTATATTTGGAGACAGGCTTGCCTGGAGTTACGGGAATTTCATACAATGAATAATGAGGCCAGATTGCCATCTCTCTAAAGATTCGGAGATGCATTTTTAAAATCTGGGCTAATTCAAGGCAAATGTTTGCATTGAAGTTCTCTCAAAAATAATTATGAATTGTAGGATGTTTTAATATTTTTATTTATTTATTTATTTATTTTTGTCTTAGTTTAGCTAAGATATGTTAGAGCTGGACAGTATCTATGAAGATTACAAGTAGATTTTTCTTAACTACTTATTTTTGTGCTCTTTGTATTTTTGTGAGCTGTTCTGACCCTCCAGTTACTATAGAGAACAATCCTTCCCCGGTATATAATAATGTAATGCCATTGTGGAGGTTGTGGTGACCACCTTTCTCTGGTATTCCAGGAGGAGTAAGGTCTATAAATACTCTATTTCAGTGGTTCTCAACCTGTGGGTCATGACCCCTTTGGGGGCAGTGCCAAAGAACCTAAGGATATTGGAAAACACAGATATTTACATTATGATAATATTTAGCAAAATGATAGTTACAAAGTAGCAACACAATTAATTTCATGCTGGGGGGGGCACAGATGAGGAACTATGATAGGGTTGCAACATAGGAAGGTTGAGAACCACTGCTCTGTCCTTGAAGCTCACATTGACTTGTGCTGGCCTCTCACTGAGAGAGAAGCTAATCAGTAATATTCAGGATTTCCACAGTAGGTGCACAAGAGCTTTGATTTAACACTAGAGTGCACAACACAAAGACACAACCTTCTTCCTAGATTCTGAAATCTGTGTTCTGGGATGTGCCTGGGATGCCTGGAATCAAAATACCAAATATGCTTTTACAAATATGCCCTACTATCACTGTTATTATTTTGCCAAATAAGATAGCACTAGGAAATGATATAACTTGTTTTCATATGGACACATCATGAAGTCCCAAACATGCTTGAAGTAATATGGATAAGTAATTGATATTTTAATAATAATAATAAATAATAATTATTAATAAAATACTAATTTATTGTTTTCTTCTTAAAAAGGGTATCTTGGCTACACTAGTGGATTTTCCCTGAGCTGCATGGTTTTTTTCCTAATAGTGGTAAGTTCTGATTGAGGCGATTGCTATGGTTTTGATGTTCAAAGCTCTGTAATAGTTCGTGATTTGGCTTTAATACAATCTCTGCTGATTCTCCTGTGTTTCTCAATACCAGGTTATCTACAAGAAATTTCAAATCTCATGTATGAGTATAGAACAAAACTCAACAATTAGTGCCAATGTCACTGACATGTGTACGCCAAAATTTGTTACCTTCAACTCAAAGGTGAGTTTGCTTGTTTGAGTAAGGGTAGTATTTCTTGTGCTTGTTGTAATCCCCTGTCTGGAGGTATTCATCCCTAAATGAATCACAGAATTGCTCCTTTGTAGTTTACAATCCATTAATACTCTTTAGAAGCACCCAACACTGTTGTGCATACCCTTCATCTAGCTTAGGACAACTGCACATCCTTGTGACGGCCTCTCTAGATGGTGGTCTCCACATCTCTCTTCCTATGTGGCGTGCTGATTGGCACTTTGATCAATCACACCCTCATCCTACTGCTGCTATGTGAGAGGGAACACTCCATAAAGACACTTTAAAGACCTTCGTACTGTTGGGGTTTGGTTGGCAGCTTGGAAGACAGTAGTAGCCTCTGCAGTCAGTCACACAGGTTGGAATCCTTAGGGGGCTCCCAACTGCCATGTGAAGATGAGGGTCCTACTTTTGTATCTCAGGTTCAAGTTGGAAGGTGCTTGGTATGGTTAGAGAAAAGCTATGTATGTTACTGCCCCTTTCTTTCTCTCAGGTTTTTTTTTTTTTTTTTGTATAAAAAGGTAGGTTTGAGCTGGGTGTGGTGGTCCATCCCTTTAATCCCAAAACTCAGGAGGCAGAGGTAGGGGGATCTCTCTGAGTTTAAAGCCAGCCTGGTCTATAGAGAGAGTTCCAGAACAGCCAGGGCTATACAGAGAAACCCTTTCTCAAAAAAACCAAAAAATGAAAAAAATAAAAATTAACAGATGTCTTTCTTCATTGATTCTAAAAATATAGCCAAAGTAGTAATTTTTTTTCTAGATACCATCTGTTTTCTGTTTATTTGTTTATTTTGTTTGTCAAGACAGGGTCTCACTATGTAACCCTGGCTGTCCTGGAACTAGCCTTGTGGACTAGTCTGGCCTTGAACTCAGTTCCCTCTGGTTCTGGATTATAGGGATTGAAGGTGTGCATCACCGTGCTGGACTTTGATATCGTCTTTCTAAGTGTGCAGTGGGCAAGTTGCCTTGGTTATTGATGGATGCCAGAGAGTAGCAACGTCCTGCCCTCTGCTGCCATTTGCATTAGGGTTTCATGTACCTGGCTAGTGCAGCATAAGCATAGCAAAGGTGTGTTGGGGCACTTGATACTCACCATGGAAGCTGTGTGTAAAGCCGGTCTGTCAGAAGTGCCCTGTGGCTCTGCTTGATGAGCTTTCTTGGAAAAGCTGCTTCTATCTGGAGACCAAAACCCTCCTAATAACCTCATAATCCCAGGATCCTGGGCTCATAATGACAGCTCAGAAATATGACAGTATGTCTTTTTCTTTCTTTCAAATAGACGGTGTATGCTTTACCAACCATTGCATTTGCGTTTGTCTGCCACCCATCTGTCCTGCCAATCTACAGCGAGCTCAAAGAGTAAGATTTGTCTCATTGTTATGCCTCATTCATTACCCACCTCCTACTAATGGGCAGGTTTTGTGTGAGTATAAACACAGATTCATCATCTGACTTCAATGTCCACTGCCACTCCTGAACAAGCTCTGTATTAAGGAAGCTCTGAAATCTGCAGTGGTTTTGGCTATAAATAAGAAAATGACAAGCCACGTGGCCTTAATTAAGTAATTATTTGTGAGTGAGTGTGTGTGTGTGAGTGTGTGTGTGAGTGTGCGCTTGCATGCACTCAAGTTCTGTCACTGTCCCCACCTTGCTCCCTTGAGACAGAGTTTCTAAGTAAGCTGGCATTTAGCAACCCAGTGACAATTTTCCACCCCCCTCCATCCCCCACCCCCAAACACTGGGGTTCCAGGCATACTCTGTTATGCCGGCTTTTTACTTGGTTTCTGGGAATTTGAATTTTTCTTCATGCTTGCATAGCAAGTGCTCTTAGCCACTGAGCCATCTCCCCAACACCCCCCTATCCCCACGTATGGGCTTTTTGGGTTTTTTTTTTTTTCTTTTTTTTCTGTAAATACTGTGTTATTTAGGAATTCAAGTATCTGTACTGAATTTTGTTACTCAGGGTTGTTTTGTAGGTGAATTTGTTATTTTTAAGTTAGGATATTACTTATTAGGAAGCCCAGGCTACCCTCAAGTTCACAGTCCCCATGTCTCAGACTTCCTAGTAGTATCCTACCTCCACTGCCTTCCTATGGCCTTATATGCAGAGCTAAAGGCCTGCCTATAAATTCCCCGTGTATTCCCCTTTCAGCCCACAGTCATCATTGTCATCTACATAAAGATGGTCACCCACATAGTCTTAAGTTCAGAAGAAAGACACAATATGCTTGCCGTTCCCATTTTGAGATGTCCTTTAGCACATGGCACTGTTTCCTATTCAGTCTTTATCTTTCCTATTTAACTGACAAATGGCTAAATTTTGAAGTACCTACATCTCTGTACACATACCTTGTTCTTACCTGATGGTCCTAAACTTAGAGGGTTTAAGTATCTCTGTGTGTGTGTGTGTGTGTGTGTGTGTGTGTGTGTGTGTTAGTTGAGTTGTCAGTATTTAGTTTATGGCTTCAAGTGTGTGTGTGTGTGTGTATTTTTATTATTATAATTTTTTAATTCCTTGGTCTTTGTTTTTAGCCGATCACAGAAAAAAATGCAGATGGTTTCCAATATTTCCTTCTTTGCCATGTTTGTCATGTACTTCCTGACCGCCATCTTTGGGTACTTGACATTTTATGGTAAGTCATTTCCAGTGGTGTGTGCCTCTCTGTATTTAAAATCGACAGGAAAACAAAACTGAAGTGACCTCACACGGAAGCCAAAGGGCAACAGAAGGGTCCATGCTTTCTGTTCTGTTCCATTTTGGTTTTTTCCTTATAGCAAATGTTGATGGCTATTTCCGTATTCATTCAGGCTGCATAATAGAATGATCACTGAAAAATAATATAAAATATTTTCCTCTGGCTCTTTCTCCTCTTCAGAAAAATTACATTTAGAAACATGCCGTCTTAGGAAAATTTAAAACGGCATCAGAGCAGACTTTCCTACTTGACACTGAAAATTGGGTCAGATTCCATTAATAGGAAAGAGAGAGAGAAAGAGATGCTGAAAGTGAGAGAGAGCAGAGCCCACACTCATGACACTCAGCGTTAATTAAAAACAAAGCAGCTAATTGTTCGCCGGAACTTGGGGCCCCACAGGAAGGGAAAAGAGGTTGAGGAAGAAAGTGTGTTCCCTTTGTGCTGCTGACTGTCGGGATAAGTTGTGGCTTTTCCTGCCTCAGCTTCTCGTCCGCTGACCCTGCAGCTGGGAGTGCCCCCGATTGTCATAATTCAAGAACTATTTAAGTAGGTTTTACCATCTTTTCTATTACGTGCTTCTTCAGGACTCCCCCCTCACCATAAAAATAAATAAAATTTAAACACTTTTACAGATTAACTCAGCTTGAAGAAAAGGGCATTGACTTTGTAAGCAATAGAGGATGGCATTGCCGAGTGAGGACATAACCTCTGCCATTTCGTTTTTATAGAAATGGTGTATATGAGATTCCGTGCATCACAGGGCTGGTGGGTGAAGGGAGACTCGAGAGGTAGCACTCAAGGCCTGAGTTACCTTGCTCATTACTAATCTTCGTTGTAAGTTCATCTTGACACCTGTAATAGAACACACGGTCCTTTTACATGATTAGCTATTTATAGATAGATGGTTATGCATTTTGAGTAAAGAAAATTGGATCTACTGAGACTTTTAGTACAGCCTCCAGTCCCATTTCAGAAGCTGATGCCATGATCTGTGAAACTGTTTACAATCTGAATTTCTTGCCCACAACCTTGAGACAGGTGCAGTGAGAACCCCTGGAAGAGAGTGATGAGGGGTAGGCGCTTGTCAAGAGAGCCTTAGCAATGACACTTTTCACAGTTGTGAGTTGAGGGAAATCAGCGGAATCTGTGCACTGAAGACTGTTGTGAGAGAGATGAACATGAATAGGAAGGGTTCTTTCCCAAGGGTGGTTGACTGGCTTACCCTCTGCTGCTTTGCCACTGGAAGTTGAGTTACAGGGAGCCGGTTGGAAGGAGAGATGTTTGTGTGGCCTATGGTTCCTGCAGGGAGACGGACAGTATTTTCTATGAACTCCCAGTGTGGAAAGTCAGGTACGAAGGGCTTTGGGCATCCTCCGTGTGTGTTAGTGCAAATGAAGCTGTCCACAGCTTTTTCTAGTGCTGACTTTAGATCCCTTTAGCTAACAGTGCATGTGCAGTGATGGTGTCCCATTTGGGCATTTCTTTGAATTTATGGATTGTTGTAATTGATGCTTCGAAACCTTGGCTCCATTTCTCTTTACAGAGTCTTGGTGGCTTAGGTGAAATGTCATTAAGCAGTGCTCTGGTCGCCTTTTAAAACCTTCTGACTCCCCGTCGTTTCAGAAAAGGTGCAATCAGACCTCCTTCACAAGTACCAGAGTGAAAATGACATTCTCATCCTGACTGTGCAACTGGCTGTCATTATGGCTGTCATCCTCACCGTACCAGTCTTATTCTTCACTGTAAGTAAAGGGCCTTGGGGTCATAGGAGAAACACTGGCCTTTGCACTTTCTTTCTGACTCCAGTTTCCTGTTCCCAGAGAAGGCCTGCCTGCCAAAGGAGAGGCTTTTCTGGTCACTGACACTTGGCTCAGCCCAAGCAAATGGGATCCATATGAGCATGTAGGGGCTGGATCTGCATTCTGACCATCCACCTTCCTCTTTTTTACAAAAAATGTGGAGTGGTTGCATCTCTGCCTTACCTTACCATAGTGGAAATTACCCCACCCTAAGGAAAGCTTGCTATGTCATACATGAGGATCCAAACAGTTGCAGTCGAGTCCCCGTATCTTCAAACTGTTATGCCATCTCTAAGTTTGCTGAACATTAAGAAAACTCTTGACAAATTCCATGCATCGGCAAATAATTCAGCTGTCTGATGAGAGTAGAGAGTCAGTGAACATCCAGGGCCCTTGGGATCTCTGCTTCTCCTGCAGGTTCGTTCATCGTTGTTTGAACTGGCCAAGAAGACCAAGTTCCACTTGTGCCGCCATGTCTTGGTGACCATCATACTCTTGGTGATTATCAACTTGTTGGTGATCTTTATTCCCTCCATGAAGGATATTTTTGGAGTCGTAGGTACGGTTTTATAGTCGTTTTACAGTATCTGGAAGCTGTTTCTGATTAAAACTTCCAAATAATGGCCCTAAACAATTGTTCTCTTAATTTGCAGGAGTGACGTCTGCTAACATGCTCATTTTCATTCTTCCTTCATCTCTTTATTTAAAAATCACAAACCAGGATGGAGACAAAGGCACTCAGAGAATTTGGGTATGTCTGTCCCTCTAATTTTTCTGATTAGAAAACCAGCTAAACTTGCAGGTAAAGTCTGCTAACATTACTTTCAGTTGCGTAACTTAGTTTTGCCCTGTTGCCAATACACTGAGATCGAGCCACCATGTGCCACATATTACAAACAGAAACACTTGCTTCCCAGTAACAATGCAGGTTGATAGGTAATGGCCAAAAAAATGGCTTGATACACTTCCAAAAGCTTTTTAGGTTTTTTAAGATACGTTCTCACTGTGTAACCATGCATGGCTGGCTTGGACCTCTTGTATAGATCAGGCTAGCCTGGAACCCAAGTGCTGAGACTAAAGGCATGTAACCCCATACCTGGTTCATTAGGTTGTAATCCGTTGAGAGAGGAACTCATGAGGAGTCATTTGTAGCATGGACACACCCGTGGTGACCCAGAAGCCAAAGTGTAAAATGTGGAAGACCAGGGCTGCTTTCTGTTTGCACATCCTTGCAGGACAGCATTTACCCAGGTGTAGGAGAGTCTTCAAGGTTTAGCCACGGTTGTAATGAACTCCAAATACCATGGGACACAAAGGAGGCAGGCGGAGAGTTCCACTCTTCCTGCATGTGCATGTGGGAAATGTTGATTACACTGGAGTAACCCATGTTTTGTTGCTGCAGGCGGCCCTTTTCTTGGCACTGGGGGTGTTGTTCTCGTTGATCAGCATCCCGCTGGTCATCTACGACTGGGCTTGCTCATCCAGCAGTGACGAAGGCCACTGAGACCAGCAAGGAAGGCCAGCGCCTGCCCCTGCCCATCCAGCCACCACTCATCAGCGGCCCCTTCGTCACTGCCTTTGCAAGTTTACAGACAGACAGAAATGCACATGACAACCCTCGGGCTATGACACAGAGACCTGCTTCTAGAATGCCTCGTGTCCTCCCAGGATATCCACTTAGGGATTGTGGATTTTATCTTTTCCGGATTTCACGAAGTCATCTTTCCCTCTCCGCATTATGTTCTGTGGCTTCTTCTCTGTCTCTTAGAACTTTGGAAACACAATCATCAGGTGTATTCATTTGTTAGACACCCAGGTTCTAAAATCGTTTTCCTACTAGCATCCCTGCTCTGCTCTCTGTATCTTTTTAGAAGAGAAAATAATCTTGAATTGTATATATTTATTTTGCTTTACAGAAAAAAAGGTTTCAGGAAAAAAAAAAAAACAAAAAAAAGGTTTCATAAATACTTTGCCTACTTTGGTTACCATAGCACACAGGGGTAATCCTTTGAGAGACAGGTTGGTGCCACTGCTGCTTCTGAGTTTGCCCTGAGAATCATTTGAGGCGGCTTTGATCGCCCAATGTGGGTTGTCCTAGACCTGCTGGTACTCCATCCTGCTTCCACACGGAGCTATTCCCTGGGAGTGTCTGTGGCTGGAAAGGGGTGGGCATGGCACTTGTGGAAATATTAAATGCACATTTGGGAGAGCTCACACATTTAAACTTTGCTTACCCCTTTGGCATCTGGTGTCAACAGTTACTCTAGGCTGTGGAGTCACCTGCTTGGGGTCCCGTGGCTCCCACAGTAACAAACAAGTCTGCCCAAGATGCCTAAGGAAATACTCCAGGTGCAGACAGTCTTCAATCTGGGTCCATACTGTTGAAGGGGGCGATGGTTTGTTGGTTCATAAGCCTGGCAGCATTTGGTCATGCCCACCAGCTTTTTACAACAGAGAATATGTACCTAAGGATGACCCAGGATAGGTCATCCTCTTTTATATCGGGTACTTTACTTTAGGGGAGTCTTTAAAAGACTTGTTTTATATCTATAAATCTAGGTTATTACAAATACAAGATTTTTGTATCTTAAATAAGCCTCATTTCTATTCTCCATTAACTCTCCATCCAATCTTGAAAGTAAACCTTCTGAGATAGTCTTTGTGGAGAACTTCTGAAGTCCCTGTGTCCTCTCTTGCTCCCACTGGGGAAGACAAGAGGCCCTTCCCTGTCTGTGTTTCTTGCTTTTATCACTTTACTGCCTGTCCCATGTGACCCACACAGGAGGGCAGAGTAGCCTCTACTGTCTCCCTAGCCCCCTCAAAGGGGACCAGAGAATGACAAGGAGACGGAAAACTACATGAGCTTTGGACACTGCAGCTAGGGAGCCCAGGGCAGCATGTCCTGCTGGTGGGCATACCTGTGGCTGCCCATGGCTTGGCTACAGTAGGGAGTGCACCTGCTGTGCGACCACTCTGCACACAGGGCTTGTAGTGCATCCAGATGCATTCTGGTTGAATTCTCAGATACAAAAATGCACTGAGCACAGATTTCTTACCTGGAGACAGGTAGATCTAACACAGAGAGTTGGCAGAGGGCACAGACACTCAGCTCTACACACTGTTTCTACTCACTGAAGTCCCCCAAACTCCAGGAATCTCATGAGAGTCACACAGAGAAGTCCCTTCAGACACTGAAGTCCCACAGATAATGTAGGCATCAAAGCGCCTGCCACCATCCTCTCGAAGAAGGAAAAGCTACTTCCTGTATCACATTATCCCCTTGGTACAGTGCTTCAGAGTTCTGTCCACCTTGAGTTCAGGCAACTGAACACTAGGCCCTAGACAGGAAAAGGGGAAAGCCCACAGCTGCCTCTGCCCTTTTTGGGAATTCTTTCCATGTCACAGAGAATGGTAGGAAACTTGCCAACCTTTGTAGCTTGTTTGGCACTGTTTAAAAAATACATTGATTCGGTTTGCAAGCTATACTACTTTCTGTTTTCCTCATTATCTTGTAACCATTCATTAATTTTACATTCGTGAAGTGAATTCAAAATCTATCACTAACTCTGGGATGTGTTGTGATTTTGGATCTCTGGATTTTATGTGTTGGTAAAACTAATGTATTATTTACATTTTTTAAGGCTCCTTTATGTATGTACCTGAGTTTGTTTGAATGTAATAGACCTTGCTGTCATTTGTCAGGTACCTCAGATTAATTCCATGGTTTCTGTGGTGTTCCTGTATACTGTTTTTACTCTTGTTCAGAATAGTGAACTGGTAGCCAAAAAACGTACCTGTACCACAGATGTTCAGTAGAATTCAACAGCACAGTTAAATGCAATAGACATTTTTCTGCTAAGTTAGTAGACTCTGGAGTAGTAGGCCTTGACCACAGTAGAGCAATGTTTTCCTGTGGCACATAGGATCTCCACACTGTTGGCCAGGGCCAGTTTCATACTTTGGGTCTAGATCTGTTCTCTGGCTACTGTAACACAGAATACTGTAGATTCCTAGCTTAGTGTTGCTGGTTAGAAGTAGGGTTAGCCAAGTGTGTGCAGAAAGAAAACCCATCTTTTAGACATGGACGGGCAGTCCCTAAGTCACAGGGAGAACATACTCCAAAGCTTTGTAACCTGGGATGGATTTTCTGAAATATGTGAAGATTAGGCCCCCAGAGCAGCTGGAAGAGACTACCAAACCCACAGTTTCGCTGAAACACAATAGTGTGCCAGGCCGCAGAAGAACCAGCTCCCCAGATAGAATGGAGGCATGGGGGTGGGGTTCACATCAGAGTCACCAGGAGTAAGGCTCTGCCTGTTGTTGTGGAATCCAGACTTTGTTTCTGCCACAGTATCTGCTGGACACTGGGTTTGGGGTTCCACCACAGTGGCCTGAAACCTGAGCTCCTGCAACTTTAGAGGAACTAAGTTCAGAAACCTGCTGGTAGGATGGTGATGAGGGAGGAAGAGGAATTCCTTAGCTACCACCTCTTATTTTCTCTGAAACTCTCAAGCCTGGCCTGGCACTTCCTGTCCTGTGGCCTTCCCCTGGTAGTGTTCACCTCCTTGGCTACTGACAGACATCAAAGCTCCTCTCAGGTGTCAGCTTTGAGACCAGCATACAGCACTCTCAATGTCTTCTGTTTCAACCATGATGGAACTGCTTGGTAATCAGATGAAAAGTACAAAAGGGGTCTCCATCTTGTCTGTTTATGGATCATATTGAGAAACATAATGACGCCTTTGGGATGGGTTGTAGAGGACCGAGGTCTGCGGTAAGATGTCTCAGTGTTTCAGAGGATGAATCCAACAGTTATGGCAAGAATTCTGAAGTTGAACTCAGGCTGATGTCTCTCAAATTGTGGCCCCCAGACCAGCAGCATGGACCTCATTTGCAGACTCAGGATACAAATCCTCATCGCCACCAGACTGGACAAAACAAACCTCTCTGCAAGCATCAGGTCTAGACTCCCAGTGATACAAGTGGCATCGAGTTTGGGAACCAGTCAGTCAGAAGGAAGTTTCTGGGGTGAGGAATTGGAGCCAGGACTCAGAAAGGGTGGAAAAGAACTACAGCCAGTGTCTGTGCAAATGCAGGAGGCATCTAGTGCGGGGACCCTACCCGAGTCCCTTCTTGCTGGAAATGCAATACAGGGGCATTAGTGAAACTCTAGTGCCTGCACTTTAGGGAAAATGGCGTAAGGCACTAATATATTTCCTTACAGCTATGAAGATACCAAATTGAGGCTTTAAAAAATGTAGGTAAATTAAAATGTCTTTTTGTAAATGCGACTCTAAGAGCACTGTTGAGTTTTCAGGAGTCAGTTCTCCAAGAGGACTGTGTTCATGGTTGGCAGAGAGCTAGGTGCGAGGCCCTGGTGAAGTGCAGTCCTGCCATTGTAAAATATAAAACCAGTACAATGATTGTTCTAGTGAAAGGTCCACACTGCTGAGGGAGCTGCAGGGGCTGTAAAGGGAGAGCAAGAGCCAGCCTATATCATTGGAACACGGTGTGAGGCAAGTTGTTAACTGGAGTAGGGCAGGGTCGGTGGTGTCATCATATGCCTGGTGTATGCCCATTCATCCACTTAGAAAGAGGATAGGCTTTAAGAATGGCATTGCCTATTCAGGGGAACATCTGGGCACTGGGGGAAAAAGTCACACTGTCACCTAGCAGTATTAATCAGTGGTTTCCTCATGATGGCAGAGCTGAGAATCCTGCAATGGAACATACTCCTCTAAAATGAAGTAAATTGTTGATTGTAATAAAAGACTTTGGGCTTGTGGGTAATAACTGAAGATGATGAAAATCTAAAGGGGTGGGTTCTTGAATAATGCAAAATTCGCATGGATGCAGATGTCTTTCTTGGGGTTTCCCTGAGGAAGGGCCGTAGAGCTCTGGGCCTATCTGTGTACAGGCTTGAAGAATCTATGCATATGAAGCTCTCTTTAGGAATCCTTCATTTGTATGTAAATATGTTGTAAATACATAGGAGGCTGTATATTTTTGCAGTTGATGATCCACACAGAAATAGAGATCACTAGTATCTGCGTATAGGACATATACATTCTCATAGATGTTAGTGGTTTTGTTTGGGAATTAGAAGAATTTTAACCTTCTCTCCTATAGTTCTGTGAACGTAAACCTGGGGCCTAAAACCTTAATGGTTCAGAAAAAAGTGCTGAGAAATAACTGTTTTGATTTTTTTTTATGCTGGTGTTATGATCTATTATTTAGATGATACAAATGAGGATGGCTTAGAAGAAAATCATTGTCATAGAAACAGATATGCCCCAAATGAGAAGTTGTTTCTTCACAATGTTCTTTTTCAGTTCATACTGATGCTACTGCATAGTATGTAAGAAAACAGAAGTTAGGGTGTTTTGTTTTTTTCCAAAATGGAATTCTCTTTTCCCAAACTTTGGGATCCTCAGGGGAGGGCTGAATTTCATGAGCACAGATTTGAAGGAAAACATCTTGTTATTTACGCTTTGGAAGGTCTTGCATGTTTGCCTTTTAGTGTTGATGCCAACACAGACTGTCTTGTCTGTCCCCCCCTCCCCACCACCCAACACTTGAGACTTAACCATTGGTACATAATACAATCTCTAGAGTCCAGTGTGTCTTAGGCTCCCTCTGACTCAGTACATGTAGCACACCACTGTTATTATTAATGTAAAAATCTTGTAAATGATTTCTGGTGGGCATCCAAAGTGAGTCACAAGTCACAAAACTTTGCTGTTCACTGTCCATCATATAAAATTGGGTTGTTGTTGCTATTTTTTTTTTTCTCCTTCAGGTGTGGTATAAATAAGAAAGTGTAAGAAGTTATGTTCTTTAAAGGCAGTGTTAACATAGTTTTAAAATATTAAAATGTGAATTAAAAGTACTTGTGAGTTTCGTGTGATGCTCCAGGCAGCCATGATGAAAGGGCAGCGGTGCTGTGTGTGCTGCTAAGTTACCGGGGGGGGGGGGGGGGGGGGGGGGGCGTGTTCACATGATTCTGCACCATAGACGTTCCTCTTCAAGCACCCGGACTGTAGCTGGGCCTGATGGTACATACAGCCCTGGACCCTAGCAACTTGTGATGATGGAGAGTGGGCCAGCCTGGGCTATACTCAAAGTCCTTTTGTTTTGTTTTGAATGATATCTGATCTGGCATATGTGTTTTTCTCTGTTCTTTAGAATCAGAGTGGGTTGGACACAGAATTGCCAACTTCTGTCACGTTGCAGTAAGGACTCTGCTCCCTGCTCACATTGCAGCCACCATGAGATCCAGAATCCTGTCAACACACACATTTTACCTCTGAGGAGAAATCTAGCCTTTGAGCTTTGCTGTTTCTTTCTGTCACTTGCTCTTGTGACCTTAAGAAGGTTCTGATGGACAAGCAGGAAGGCCAGGATCCGATACACAAATTCTTTCTGTGAATAGTAACCACAAAGATCCCTTGGGTTTTGTTTGTTTGTTTTCTTTCCTGTGACTGGATATGAGGCTAGCTGTCCTATTGATGATAACAGCCCATCCTACAGAGCTACAATGGCAGATCTCTGGGTGTCCAAGCCCAACCTAGCTTCATTAGGAATAAAGCTGATACCATTCAATTTATATGGCGTGTGTGCGTGTGTGTGTGTGTGTGTGTTTGAGACAGTGCATCTCTCTACAAAGTACTGGCTGTTCTGGAACTCACTATGTAGATCAGGCTAGCCTGGAACTCAGATGTTTATCTGCCTCTTGAGTATTGGGATTAAAGGCATGTACCACACCCTACAAACTCATGAGGGCAGTGTAGCAATGACTTTTAAGCCCGGGTATAGGTAAAAGATTATACACTTGAGGCTGTGAGTCGATGTGATAGCTCTGACACCTACTGCTATCACTGTGTGTGTGTGGTTCTGTTGCATTCTGTCCTCTGTAATATGTCCTTGTTGGGCAAGGGTTGGTCTGCCCCACCCTCCACCCCTGGAGAATAAACTGGACTTTGTGGGAACTGAACCTCAGGTCCTGTTTGCTTGTATACTAGGGACATTAATATGTTCTACTTTGTCTGGGCCTTTAAAAAATAAATCTCTGGTTACTGTAAAATTTTAGACTAATTCAAGTAGAATTATCTGCTCTACTTTGCTGGACTTAACACAATATCAAAATGACCAAATTATGAATTCCTCTTAAAGTTACAACAGTAAAATCAAATTGGTATTGGCATAAAAATAATTGGCACAGCACAAATGGTACCAGAAAGGTGGCCTTTAGAGCCTATGGAGAAGATTAAGGTTACTCAGAAAATACTGGGGAGGGGGGTGCTTAAGGAACATAAACCTAGATCACTATTACCTCATATCTAAAGAGAACTCAACGTGAAGACCTTAACACACATACACACAAAGCACAAGTGAGCGGCCTGTATACTTGAGACATGACTTAAAATCGTGTCTTATTTAGCTAGCTTACATTCATTTATTTAAGACACAGTCTGCATAGCCCAAGCTGGCCTGTAATTCACTGTGTGGACAAGGCTGACCTCAGACTAATGGCAATCCTTTTGCGCCAGCTTCCTGAGTGCTGGGATTAGGGCCATGAGCCACCATACCCAACTTTAGCTCATTTAATAAGTAAGGGACAAGATGTTTAGAAATGATTTACATTGTCAGGCATGGTAGTACACTCAAGAAAATGAGGTTGAAGAAGGGCAGTCTAGACTACATGGAGCATTTGAGCCTGGCCTGGAACGATGTAATAAGAACTTGATGAATTAAAAGAAATATTTGCAAGGCTCTGGGTTCAATATTTTAGCAGAAAGCCTAGGTGGGAGGTTCAAAGAATTCAAGATCAGACATGGAACTAATTCATGTAAAACTGCCCTTCTCAAGGAGTGCAAGCCTATTAATATCTCAACCAGAATTCATTTTTGTCTTTGGACAATAAAAGTTTCTGTCTGTTATCAGTTTGCTACAATTTGCAGGATTATAAAGTAGCTCAAAGACAAAAAGAAAAAAGTTAGAAGTGGGGCACAAAAACAATTTGTAGGATACACGGAATACCCCAACCCAGAAGGACACATACTTCTTTACCAGAGGTTTGCCCAATCACCTTTTTTACCTCTTTCTGACTTCCCTTTTGGTCACACTAAAAGTCCCGCAGATTATTCTTGGTAATAAAATGGCTGTTCTCAGTAGGATTGGCCTGTTCATCAATGTAGATGTGGCTAGGTGTTAAGTGACCATTAAGGCTTCCTTTGCAATCTAGAACAGCAGTATTGTCTGGTAGAACACACCTTAAAAGGTTTATTGTTTCCTAGCTCAAAGTTAGGAAAGGCAAGCTAAGGAACTGAGTGCATTCACCTGCACTGTCTATATGCCTGGGAGAATTCCTTTCTACTTGAATTTGCCTCTGGATGAGGTTCCTCGTCTATGAGGAAGTGCCCTTTGTTAGCCTATACAAGATTAGTACCCTACCTTTGGAACTAGAGCACAGGTTACAGGCCTAGAAGATTGGTTCTAGGCCAGGTTTTTAGGGGGAGGGCTTTGCAGACATTCACTCCTTGACATATCTGTCAAATGACTAGCATCCTCCAGCATGGTCTTCCAGGGCAGGCCAGGGTTACACAATCAGTTTTTCAGATTATACAAAAAAGAAGAGCTTCCTCATGAACCAACACACATGAATACATTGCTTGACAAAATAAAGGGACTTGGTCACAGAGGTTAATAGGTTCAGTGAAGTTTAACTTGGTTTTGTTGAACGGATTCTACTGCACTGTTATAGACTAAAGACAGCTCCAGAAGGAAGAGCTATGGCTTCCTTATATAGACATGAAATGGAGCGTTAAAACCCCATCAGCTTGAAGAAGCTTTTCTCCTTGGGTCATCCCGCCCTTTGGGATTCTGTTTTGTTCAACCTTGGGTTGGCACTTGGCGTACATAATGTTGTTGATTCTGGATTGAAAACAGTCCTGAACACTCACCCTCGGTCTACTGATGCAGCCTGAAATAAGTCTGGGGAATGTCAACGCAAAAGTATGTGGCCAAGTGTCTCCTCTTGGAGGAGATGTGGGTAGTTTAAGGTCCTTGACACAGTCTCTCTCTATGAGACTCTAGGGAAGGAAGGCCTTGCTGGAGATCCCGGTGTTAGCCTGTAGTTTGTGACAGCCTTGGGCAAGCTTCAGGAACAGAAGTCTGTTTGATAAAGAGAAATGACATGGATGGCTAAAGTTGATACACTGTAATAGCTCATAGCTGTCATTTTATCCACCACCATGGGTCTTCTTAAAATAAACTTGCAAGGCTATGTAGTGTTCCACTGAAAGGTCACCCAGGAACTACCAGTGTCCCTCATTTCTATGTCTTCAAGACTTTGCTGTCTATCCCTTCCTTCCTTCCTTCCTTCCTTCCTTCCTTCCTTCCTTCCTTCCTTCCTTCCTTTCTCCTCCTCCTTCTCGAGACAGGCTCTTTGTGTAGCCTGGCTGTCCTGGAATTTGTTCTGCAGACCAGATGGCCTTGAACTCACAGATCCTGCCTCCAACACCCAGAGTGCTAGAACTAAAGGCATGTGTCAGCATGCTCAGCCTTCTTCAAGGCTTTTCTACAAAGTGTATATCTCCATCTCATATCATATAGTAAGGAATGTTCTCTTGATCCAAAATATAGAAGCCACACATACACACACAAAACCTGATGATAGACTCAGAAAACCAAAGAAGCAGAAAAAATACCCAAAGTCAAAATAAAGAGAAGACATAGGCCAGGATGTGCTTTTTACTATGGAATAATATGTCATTTGTCAACATAAACATTCTTTCCTTGGTAGAAATGAAAGTACCTTCTACTCAGTAGAAAAAGAACCTCAAAGCTTATGTATATAAGTAGCCATCTTAGTCTCTCATTCCTTTAAAAATACACAATAAGTTAGAGATAAAACACAACAACATACAAAAAGTGCATTAGGGAAGAAAAAGGAGAAATAGGGTGAAAATGAAAGAAGGGGGATGGGAGCCAGGAGTGGTGCACACCTGTGATCCTAGCACTTGACAGTAGAAGCTGGAAGTTCAGAAGTTCAAGGTCATCCTCCACTGCACAGTGAGCATGAGCATGTGTGCCAACCAGACCTGGAGACTCTGCCTCCAAAAACCAAAAGTAAACATGTTACAACAGTTTTCAGCATAGGTGGACACGCCTGTGAATAGGCCAGGCTCCAGAGTGCCGGCTGGTAATTTTTGACTTAAACTTGACTTGAAGGAAAGCTTAGCCCTTGCCAATGGGCACGAGAGCAGTTGTCCCATTGCTGGAAACGATGGCTCTTCTGAGAGGCTAAGAAGCAGACTTCTGCCTCTGGTGAGGGACAGTTGGAGCATTATAGGTAGATTGGGAAAGCAAAATCAGCCTCCTAAGTCATAGCTTTTGTTCCCAGCAGACAATTCCAGGAGAGACAGTGGAAAGGCACAGTGGCTGCTACCTAGACAAGACCAAAACTGGAAAGGGGGAGGACACAAGGGCCCCATAAATACCCAACCCAGACCCACAGCCCTGGGGACTCCCATGCCGAATGGAGCTGTTTGCTGTATCAGTGAAGCAGTTACTCTTACTGTCTCCACATTTGGCCCCATTGTGTCTCTCCCTGATGTTGGATTCTGTGTCCCATGGACAAGCTCATCAATCCACTGGAGGACCACCAGCATCACCATTACACTTCTTAGGGACTTTCATCTGGACTTGGAGAAGAATCCTACTCAAGATTGGGATACCTGACTGAAAATCTCAAAGGACTCAGAAGTGAAAGTGAAACACCTTTCTGGTTTTCTGAGGATGTCTTTCAAGTGAGCCCCTCTCCAACCACAACTGGCACTTCCTCCACCGGGAGTAGGGAGAGTAAGCTATTGGAATTTGATAGAACCT